CCCGGCCCTCACCATCCCTCCGCGCTGATTCTCTCTCTCTCTCTCTTTCTCTTTTTTTAAAGTGTGACTGAAACAAAACAAAGCCAAAGGGACGCTGGATCTATCATTGGTTGATTTTCCTCCTCCTTTTTTTTTTTATGATCAAAAACAACCCCACACCCGAGCAAACAAACACAAAAAACAGCTTTTTTTTTGCTCAGCAGCAGCATGGATGTCTTGGCTAGTTATAGTATATTCCAGGAACTCCAGCTTGTCCACGACACCGGCTACTTCTCAGCTTTGCCATCCTTGGAGGAAAACTGGCAGCAGGTGAATCATTTAAATTACTCCTGTAAATCTCTTAAGCGCAGACAGTCGATGCATTGGGGCTGCATTTCTGACTTTGTTTTATTTTTATTCTTTAATTCAGGGTTGGTTTTTTTGGTGGTTCTTTTTTTTTCTGCGTGGGTAGACCTTTACATCTCTGTAATTTTTGCCATGACAAACTGAGCAGTCCATTCAAATCTGTCTGCCTTCAGTCTTTTCTGAGCACACCCGGCAGCACCTGAGATCCGGTGGCATACTTTAGGGTTTTGTTTTTATGATGACTACTATTTTTATTTTATTTTTGAGCTTAGATTTTTTTTTTTTTTTTTGATATTCCTTTAAACAAGGCTGATCACTTCTAGCCAGTGCTGACAACTGGCAGCTGGTGGAAACGGAATAGATCATTCTTATTTTCAGGTAATTAGTATATGTCAATAAAAATCATAGTGGAAATCAGAGATGAGGGGTGGGCAGGTGTGTGGAAGCACTAGCAAAAGCTTTTAAGCTAGATTCTGTAACTAAGGAGGTGACTTATTTTCATTTTTGTGGGGTGTTTTTTTTTTTTTGAAGGTGGGGAGAAGCACACAGTTCTTGCTGTATCTTAAAACAATGACGCCTTAGGCTGTTTCCAGTAAACCAGTGTGTTTTGAGGCACCGTAGGGTTAATATGCAGACAGAATTAGGATAACGATGGAAACGAAGTATTATGAATGCATTAAAATGAGGACTGGTGGTGTGAATAACTAAGACCAAGGAGAAGAGTAGGTTACAGAGGAAAGAGTTGTAGAAAATTAACTATGAGCCCAAATGCATAGATCTCTAAATAGTTATCAGCTGGGATACTGAGGGAAAAGGAAAGACAGGATTCCTCATTACGGCAGGACATTGTGAGACAATCCTGTTTCTTGATGTGATTTTCTGGCAGAGGTGGTATGCCAGGCGAAATTCTGGAAACTAGTGTCTCTTTAAAAGAAGGTGGCTAGGAATAGTGGAGTGTGGCTGGGGTGACATGTGGTGCTAATGCAGCACACGGACCCGTGGCACTATCAGTATAAGAATAACGAGCCCCTGAATTTCATCTTGCCAGCATTCACCTTAGTCTTGGCTAGCATAAGGGTAGCGTGTGTTAGGTCTCCAGTAAGTGGCAGCTTGGGATGTTAATTTAATTTTTCCTTAGAAGTGTGTGTGGGGAGAAATGTGGATGGTAGGGCTTCAGGGGAGCACTTGGGCTGTAGCATTGTCATCCAGCTGGACTGGGGATGAATCTTTAAAGCTTTACCCTAGTAAAATTGTTTTGGCTTCAGATTTGTGTGTGTATATGCACACACACTGGAGGTTTATTGAGAGCTACAGCGTGAACACATTCAGGATTTAATTTGCAAAATGACCGATCCAACTTTGCTTTATCCTCTGAGGGGGAGGGGATGCTTTTTGTTATTAATATTCAGCTCGCACATCCATGATGGTCACATCTGCTTTCCTTTTATATTTTTAACATGCTAATTAAAGTGAAGATGCTAATATAATTTCATTAAAAAAATTAATTTCCTAGCATTGTTGTTGCTGGATCAGTTGCATATTCAGTTGCATGTTAGTAACAGTCCAGACAGTCCAAAGCGAGATAATCTGTTGACATAGCCAGCATGCTTTAGGCAGTACTGTGTGTGATACTCTATCTACTGCTGCCTTCTTTTATGCGTGGAAGAGCAGCAGTTTGTTTTATACAGTACAATGTACCTACCCAAGCCCACTGTTACTATCACGAAATTTAAACTCACGCTGTCCTGATTAAACCCCACTGATTGTCCACATATGTTTGAAAAGAGAAGTTGAAAATAATTTATTACATTTTCCCTTATTTCCCCTCAAATCCTCCAACCAGTGCCTGATGTTTCATAATACATCCTGTATTTACAGTTTGTTTTTATTCCCCTGTTGCTGCCTGAGCTCTCCTTGCAAACAACAGGCAGCAAGACTGATGTATCAGTGGTGGGAGCAGCTGAAGCTGGCTGTACAGAGCATGCTGTCATGCAGGCTTGGCAGACCCACTGACACAGAGACCCCAATTTCATTCTTTTGAATCGCTTGCAAATGTAGCCAGGTCTTGGAGATTTATTTATTTTAGGCAAACCGTAGCAACTTTGGGACAAGGGATGTGCGTGCATGCGTGTGTGTTTATAAAGGTATTCCTTAAAGCTGCAGGCTGCAGTGGAGACCCCAGGGAAGAGAGCTGTCAGGGCAGTGACAGATCCCTGCAGGAAGTGTCAGCATTGGGAAGCAGCAGCTTTAATTTTGAGTGAAAACACTTGAATGGGTCTTGCCTCTGCTCCAATGAAGAGCTCTGCTGCCAGACCCAAGCTCCACAGAGGCTCCAGAGCAGTGCTTCTCCCAGCAGCAAAGCAGCGCCCCGGGAGGTTACTTCAGTCTCTTAAAAGGGGGAAAGTGGTTGTGTTGGTCAAGAGCAGGCTTCCTTATCACATTGGGAGCTCCAGTTGTTTTGTGATTAGTAGCTACTAGTGCTTGATGTAGAGAGGTTAGTCCGTGCCAGTTGCTGCTCCTAGAAATGGTGTCTACTGTGGTAGCGTAAAAGATGCACTTGCCCCTCTGAAAATCTGAGCACACCTTGCGTAAAAGTGTTGATAGAGTCCTGTCTTCCTTTTCTCCTGCGTCTGGACCACACTTTTGTAGCTACTGGCTGAGGACTAAACAGCTGGGGCAGTTGCTTGTATTTCCAATTGTGAAACACCCATCACTCACGGAGGGCACTAACAGCACAGGCAGGTTGCTAAATGCTTGCACGCAGTCAGCTGATCTCTCCCTTTATTCCTTCTCGCTGCTAGAGAAATGTGAGCAAGTTTGGTACCTGTGCTTTTGACGATTAGCATTGGAGTTGAATGGGAGCAACCCAGCAATATGGACAAAACAAACAGATTTTGTGTGGGAGGAGATTGTCATGTCTTGCGTAGGTTTCTTTTTCAGGAGGAAAAAGTACAAACAAAACCCCCCTCACTCCACCCTGGACATAGTTTACGTTGTAAAAGTGGAAATATGTGAAGTGGAAGCTGGAACTGAATCCATGATGTGTTTCATGTTATTTTAAAACATGTGTTGGGAAGCGAGGACTTGGTTTTTAGGCAGCAAAAGCTTATCTTCACTATGTCAGCTTTGGGTGTACTCCTTCAGCCAAAACACTTTTGAGGTCAGGAGGATTTTGTCTTGGAGTGGGGAGGTCAGGATCTAGTGTGTAATTCGTAGCATAACTTCAGGAGAGAGAGAACTTTGTTTAGTCTTTGTTTAGCTTTTCCAGCAGCATTGAGCCACCACAGCACTGAGAGAGATTACAAGGAAGAGGTGGGCGCTGTGCATTGGAAAATGAGGTGTTTGCTGTACGTCAGCTGGCTGGTATCTCAGCATCTGTGTGTTTCTGCCTGGCACTTCATCCTGGCTCTGATTGAACTGTCCTAGTTGCTCTCTGTCCCTGCAAGCTGACTCTGCAGTTCAGGACCAGGGTGGGGGTAGATTTCAGCACCTGCGTGGCTGCTGTGGTGCAGCAGGAGGACCTCTGGCCGCATATGGCATTGCTCGGGGGTAGCTGTCTGATGTGGCATCCCTGAGATTGAAACCAGACTGCTGGGAAAGACAGCATGAGTCCGAAGAGCGCCTCGTTACTTTGCAGAGGAAGGAAGTGGGTAGGAGGCTGTTTTTGAGAGAGGCAACTGTGAGGAGCATAGCCCATGCAGCTGCACGTGGTTCCACTCTCAGTGTGCCAGGCTGCAGGGATGGGGGGAGCAGGGCTGAGAATTGGGAAGGGCTGGACATGAGGCTTCAGTCTGTTCTTCCTGCTGGGCCTTCACATTGTTGTTTGGGGGGTCATTAAATGATCAATGTGCAGAAGGCATCTTTTGTAGTCTGTTATATTTTTTCCTACGGGTAACGTTTCAAACCATCCGTATTAGCCCTCTCCATAGGCCCCTTGGAGGACTCTGGACTCACTATCCTTGTGTGCAGAAGGGGTCTGATCAGGAGACGTTTTGGGGCTCTCTTCATATTCTTGGGGGGCCATAGGGCAGCCTCTAGCATGGCAATTCCCATAACATCAGAGCACAGAAGCACAGAGACCAGGTAGATGCACAGGGTCACCATGTGTGTATCTGGTGCAGGTGTATAAAATCAGCAGGTGCTAAACCCTGGCTTATTCTAAAAGAGCCAGCCTTTCCCACGTGTGTCATTGAGCAGAACAGGTCTAATTGGCTGGCAGAAGTGGAAATAGCATTATATTGTTTGCCTGATAACCATTGCCTGATAGCATTTCCTCTTGCCTTGGCTGACCCGGTGGCTCTCAGCTGCAGCAAACAATGATCCTTCCAAGGAAGATGCATGTTTCCTGTAAAGCATAAGATCAAGGAAGCCTTTGTTTTGCTCTTGACTCTGTCATAGAGCCTTCTTTGCATATTTTTAATCAATTCTTCAAGCCTCAGTTTCCCTCTTTCTGAAGTGACTGACAACAATGCTAAGGCATGGTCTTTGCAAGGCTTGGGAGGCTGAGTTTTGACCCATTCTGGCAAAGGGCTTTGAGATCCCTGTGCTGTGTGAGAGCAGAGTATCCTGAGGTGACTAATCTAGCAGAACTCTTACATCTTAATGTTGACTTCTGCTTGGCAGACAGGGTCATTTTCAGGCTTATAGGAAAAATTTCCACCGCTACTGGAAAGGAATAAATCACACTGGAGAACATTCCTGCCTCCCCATCGTCTCCATTGTTCTAGTTTAATGGCATAGTTGGCCACTACATAAACTAAACCATCTCTTTTAATATTGCTATTTCATCTTGGTTCCAGTCACAGTGTAACACATTTCTTAAGTGCTTATAGTACATCATGCCTCTTGAGAATAACTTGCAGAAATGGTTGACTTCCAAGAACAGCCACATGTGTAATGCAGTGTATTTCAGATTCTGACTGCTGGTCCTTGTATACCTACAAGCTCCCTGCTTGCTCCATGTG